ACATATTTAATCCTGTTAAATTTTTGTTAAAAAAAAAAAAGATTATTTTCTTTTGTTTAAAGTTAATCTAGCGTTATAAAAAAAATATATAAAAAAAGGCGAAATGTATTTAAATTTTATACAAAACCTGTTGCAGTTGTTAAACCATACAATTCAGAAAAACCTAAACTAAATCCGTATATAAAAAATGGGTAAAGTAAAAAAAATTGAAGAATACAAAAAAATAAAAGTAAGACGACAATTATTCGTCAAACCAATAGCTGTAAGTTTATTGTTTTTTTTTTAAAATAAAAATGTTTTGTATTTTTTTTAAGTGATTGTGTTTTTTTTTCTAGATTGTTAAACCCTATGTACCGGAAAATGAATATAAAACGCCTCAAATATATGTGCCTCAAGTGTTAGAAACAAGACCACTTGAGGAATCAGACGAGGAAACGTATGAAGATCAATTGGAAATCTACGACGATCTTCCAGAAATAGACGATGGTAAATTAATATTTATTATAAACATAATATTTTTTTTAAAAAAAACAACAACAAAAAAATATAATAGTTAAAAAAAATTATTTTTTTTAGACCAAGTACGAATACTTGATAGAATTGTAAGACGATTAGACGAACATTTAAATGAATTTGGAACGCCAAGGAGGCCAAATGGAAATGATAGACGTATACTATGTTTTGGTTGTTGTTTGTGCGACGAACAAAGCGAGCACAATCACTGCTGTATAACAACCGTGTGCCCGTACATTCAAGATTTATTTGAACGGTGCCGCGGTTGTTGTTGTTGTATATAAATAATTTGTATATATGTCAAAATTGTATATTTGTAAATAAAAAAAATTCATTTAACAAAATGTCTTTTAATGCGACGGACGATTGTTTGTTATATTTATATCAACTCAATTTAGATTTAAAAAAACATTTACAGGAAACGCATTTAAATCAAGGTATTTGGATGGATAAAGTTCTTTTAGCTGAAGAAAGCGAATTGGATAGTTGTAAAAGAGTATACGGTTTTAATATTAAAGATTTAAAATCGATAAAAACATATCAAATAAAATTGATAGAAGTTCTTGAATTGTTATTTAAATGCCTTCCGCATCGCGTATTTTATCCCGACACGTGTTTTCATAATTATAGTGAAGTCATTGAACATTGTCTTGATGTGTTAAAAACATTTTATTATTATTTTACGTGTATAGATAAATTGTATAAAAAAATAAACTATGTAAATCGTTTAAAAATAATAGTTCAACGTTATTATTGTAAAGGATTAGTTGGAGGATTATATTTACAAAAAGATGTATTGGAATGTTATCATATTATAAAAAAGGAAAGAGACAATATATTAAATGAAAAAATTTATTAATGTAAAAATTTGTTTTTTTTTCTCATGATAATACTTGTTTTACAAAATTATAAAAGTCTCGTTTAATTTTTTCTGTTTTTTCAATGTTTTGTAAATAGTTTGTTTGTTTTAAAACTTCTTCTTGTACCAATAATAATATATTGCCAAACGCTTTTAATGTCGATGGATCATTAATCTTTTCATGATCAACATTTAAAAATTTTGCCATTATATCGGATTCTTTTCTGTTAAAAAATAAAAGGTCTTGATCTTGATCTACAGTAATTAGTTTCATTTTTTTTATTCTAAAATAAAAAAAAGTTAAATAAAATCATACATGTCATTTCTATTAGGTTTAAAATAAGGATTAATAACATATTCATGTTGTTTAAATAACCAATCTATACATTCCATATAAATATTAAAAAAAGATTTCATGACTAATTTATGTTGCTTAGTAGCAGAAAAACAATTAATATAATAAGTATTTACAAAAAGTTTATATATGTTATCAACAATTGATAGTTGAATATTCAAATAAAACGGTCTAATTAATGCACGTCTGTCAATTAATTCAAAACAATCGTCTTCGTGTGATTTGTAAACAGAATATAGTGATAAAATATTTTGATTATTTTGAAAAAACGAATACATCAAATTGTTAATTTGTTTACGTAACTTTGGTATGACTATTCGTAGTAGTTTTTCAGAAGCTAACTTTCTTTTACATAATTCTTTCAAAGTCCATTCACGATAGTATTTATCATGAAAGCCTATTTGATAGTTATTAATTTGCAATTGTTTCACCATGGTTTCTTTTATTGATGAAAATTCTTCTAAATCATAATGTATTCTAGCATGTCTAAGTAAATTTTTTCTTAACATTCTAAATAAAATCATATTTATAAATATAACAAGGTTTAAAATGAGGATCATAAACAAATTTACATTGTTCAATTAACCAATCTATACATTGCATATAAATATTAAAAAGAGATGACATAATTAATTTGTCTTGTTTAGTTTTATAACGTAACATTATATAAACCTGTTCAAAAAATCGATAAACATAATGAATAATTAATTTCTGAACAAATAAATAATGTTTTTTATAATTATCATTCGCATTGTTAATATCGTTAATAATGTTATCAAACCAAATATCATTCATTTTGTTAAAATAGTAATGAAGGAAAGGTAATTTTTCGTTTCCATATTTTAACGTATGCAATAAATCTCTAATTTGTTTTTGTAAATTTGGTATAATAGTGTTCAAAAGTTTTTCGTAAGCTAATTTTCTTTTACATAAATCTTCTAAGGACCATGTTTCAACATTTGTAACAAGATTGAAAACAAGATCATAGTTGTAATTCCATTCTTTTAACTTGTTTTGCTTCATCAAATCAAATTCGTGTAATTCATTAAGTATGTTATTAAATTGATTTTTTTTCATTGCTAAAAAAATATACAAATTAAAAAAAAAGTTAAAATTTTTTTAAAAAAATTATTTTTTATTATAATAGTCCAAGAGTTCTTTTTGTTTTAAACAAATAACTTCAGGCGGATAATACGGAGTATTACATTTTGCGTTTTCTGCCCAAAATGGATCTGCTACTTTAAAGTTTGGAAAATCTATATTGGATCTGTCTCGATTAACCAGTACTGCATACGGTGTAGGATTAACACTTTCTTCGTATGATGGCGGATTTTCAAATTTGACTATAAACTTTTTATAGATATCTTTTCTACCGATTTCATTTAACAAATTTAAAATAAGTTTGATTTTAGCTTCGTTAGTATTGTATTCATAGTTTTGATACACGAAATCTTTGTATTGTAAATATTCCATTAAATCTAGTCCATCTTTGATTTTCTCTCTTATACCGTAAGGTATTTCTAAAAACATTTTAATTTTTTTTACATCAGACGTAGTGATGTAGTCAGCTATATCTCTCATGATTGCACTGTTCATTTTTTTTAATATTCTAAAAAAAATATAATGTTATATAAAAAAATATAATATAAAAAATACATTATATAAAAGAAACGTGTATAATAAGTTTATTAATTATATGATTAATTAAATACAAAAAAAATACATAATAAATTATATAAAAGAAACGTGTATAATAAGTTTATTGTTTTTTATATAATATTTTTTTTATTGTTCATGGGTTACAAAACTATCTGTTCCAATAGCTCGGTTATAAGCTTGAGCAGGTTTTTCAAAACATTCTTTTAACGGTTCGCTATAATTGGCTATTATTTTTGTGTTTTCAATATATTCGTTTTTAACTGTACATGTTACAGTTTTCATGAACGGCCATTTTAAAGAATGATCTTTTGAAGATTGTATCAATTGAAAATAAATACCCATTTTATCTTCTTGATTACTGTAACCAAAAATTTTAAATCGATCGAAATAACCATCTACAGTATAAGAAGGTTGAGTATGATAAGCTTCGTTAGATTGCAATCTTAAATCCATTTGGTCCAATTCTATAATTAAATTATCAGACATGAATTTGTCGTTGATATCTTTATTATAATTTAATATATTATCATATAGTTTCAATTCTTTTTCAAATGTGCTTTTATTCACAAATTCTTTCATTTCGAAGCTGATGTTTTTCAATATTTTTTCAAATGTGTTTTTATTCACAAACTCTTTTATTTCCAAACCCATGTTGTCCATTCGTTTAGTTAATGCGTTTATTTGTTTGTTGACAGTTGCTAAACTGTTTAGAATGTTATTATTAGTCATGTTTAAAAAAGTTAAACTTTGTTTTTGATCCATAATAATATATTTTTGTTTCTCCATAATTTCTTTCCATTCATTTTCAAAACGATGTAAACAATCAATAGCGTGTTGATCATAGTAGTTTTTTTGAATTTGATTTCCACAAAATACACATAATTTAGTTTGATTTCTTTCTACGCGTTCCTCGTGATAAATTTCACATTCATGTTCCCAAGTATCTGACAATTTAATTTTTTTTCCGCAGCTAAAACAATCATAATCTTGTGATGTGTTACATTTTAATTGATGATTTAGTAATTGATCAATAGTAAAGGGTAACTTGCAATAATAACATAATTCTTTTTCCATAGCTTCAGCCATTTTTTTTTGTATAATTAGTTGCTAAAAAAAGTATTAATAGTATTAAAAAATGTTATGGGTAATATTATATAATATTACGGGTAAAAATTATAGACAAACATATTATCAAAAAATATTTATTATTGAAAGCAAAAAAATACAAGTTATACAAAAATTTCAATATATATTTGGTCGGAGAGCAATAAATCGACATATTTGATTGCATCTGCTCAGTAAAAATATGTTACAATGTTATGAATACGAAATTGTTTTATGTATTGAATATATAAAACAATCTCATATTTATAATAATTGTAAACAAAAGTGTTTCCATTGTTTATTTATACCTTTAGTTTTGGCTTTATTGAGAAAATAAATTTTTCTTAATAAGCTCAAAACTAAAGGGACATTAATAAAGTTCTATTCCATTGTTTTTTTTTATTTTTTATACCTTTAGTTTTGGCTGCTTTAAGAAAATAAATTTTTTAAAACACTCAAAACTAAAGGGGCATTAAAAATAAAAAAAATACAAAATAATTTGAAAAAAAGTCAATTGTCTATTTCCATAGGTTCTTTATCACCGCCATTATCTTCATCATTATCATATTCAACAGCCATTTCATTATCTATTTCATCGACTTCATTGTAATCGTTTTCATAATAATCATTTTCATAATCATAATCATCATAATCATCATCTTCATCATAATCGTAATAATCATAATCATCATCTTCATCATAATCGTCTTCATAGTCTTCTTTTTCGTCGACTATGTCGATGTTTTTTAAATTAAAAACCGAGTCGCCATCTACAAACATGGCCTCATATGGTATAAGTTTCTCATATGGTTTAAGTTCCGGTTTGCCATATTTGTAGATTGCTTTATTCACATCATTATAAATGACTTCCATTTTAATTTTAGTTAATCTAAAAAATAAAATACAACATGTTATACAATGTAAAAAAATTAATATTCCATGGGTTCTTCTACAAAATTTTTAACTTTATTAATTAATTCGTTTAAATTGTTTATTAATTTAAAATTATTTTTTTGTTGTTCGTCAATTACCCATCTTTGTAATGTTTTTAATATAAATTGCGGATTAAATTTTTCTTCTGGATTAACTTGAAAAAATAGCGTAATGACTCGACATATTTTAAGATATTGTATATCATAATCGTTGTCAATGGCATCAATAACACAGCGATGCATGTTCAAATAATTAGCAAATTGTTGCCAATAGGTGTCAAGATGTAATGCCAAGATATTTGTTAATTTATTTTCACTCATTTTATTTTATATATTTAAATCTGTAAAAAATTAAAAAAAAATGATATTATATAAATATATATTTTTTTTAACAACAAAAAAAATAATAAAAAAAATGCCTCGCACAAGATATACACCTAGATCAAAAAAAACTGTAGATAATTATTTAAATAATCAAATTGATTTTGTACGTACTACAACAAACTCGCAACAAACGCAAACAGAAAATAGAGGGATACCAAGCAATTGTAAAAATATATTAGTATGTTTACGAAAAACTAAAAAAACATATAAAGATAACAAATCTAACCGTAAATTAGGTCGCGTTGGTAAAAAAGTTAAACGATGGAAAATATCAAACGAAGCTTACGTTAATCGAAAACACGAAAGAAATGCAGCGTTAAAAAAAAGAAAAAAGAAATAAACAATATATTTTATTATAATAAAAAAAACTAATCAAATCTGTTGCTGTAAAATTAAAAGTCCATCTTGTATTTTTTTTGTTAAAAATTTTATTTTTCGTTGTTTGTTTCTTTTGAGTTTGTATTTGCTCTTTTTCTAAAATGAATAAAAAAAATTATTTTTTTAACATGTTAAAAACAAGTTAAAAAGAATAATTTTTTTATAAAAAAATCTTACTTTTTTAAATTGTAAGTGAACGTTTTGTTCTGCCGATCCTTTTTCTATAATTTCTAACGTAGACTGATTTTGAGTTTTTTCGTTCAAAGTAACAAAGAATTCATCTGTCGTTAAATCGATTGGATGAAAATCCAATTCTTGTTCGTCTTCTATGACGATAGTTTCAGGTTTTGATTTTTGCCACATTTTATTTCTACTAACAACTTTAGTGATTGCCATTTGATTTTTGATATAAAAAAATGCAGCTTTTATATAAAAATATTTAATCTTTATAGATTATGTAAAATAATAGATTTTTGTAACAAACAAGTTATTTTTAGAAACTTTTAATCTTGCTTTTTACGTAGGATTATATAGGGAATTTCTCAGGGAATTTCCCTTATAATGTGCGTAAACAACTTTAAAAAAAATCTCTGTGTAGAAAAAAATTCTCTACGTAAAGTGTTAAAATGACAATTTAAATGAATTCAAAACACGCTTAAACAACACGTCGACGTAGCATAGTGCATCGTATCATTTCCGCACTATGTTGTAAACCGCCATGAACCGATCGTCCAGGGTTCGAATCTCTCTATAACTTTACGGCTTTAACATTATATGTATAAACACATTGAGCGAACGCTTGATGACGTATGTCTAGATAGTTTAGTTAGTTATATGTTAAACACATTGAGTATCATTGATACTTGATGATTGTCCCCACTGAGAGCTCATACTTTCGGTGAGTCCTATATGTGAACCACATTGAGTATCATTGATACTTGATGATTGTCCCCACTGAGAGCTCATACTTTCGGTGAGTCCTATATGTGAACCACATTGAGTATCATTGATACTTGATGATTGTACCCCACTGAGAAGCATACTCTCGGTGAGTCCTGAGCGTGTGTGAACGAGCGTGTATGTACGAACGGGTGAGCAGGCATAAGTAAGGCAAAAAAAATAATAGACTAAGTAAGTAAGGTTAGTAAGTAAGATACAAACAACCGGTTGTAAAAAAAACAACAGAGTAAAAATAATAAGTAGACCTACTAAGAAAAAAGAAATAAGTTAGGTAAGGCAGGTTAAGTAAGGACAGTGTCGGGTGACACAAAATTTTTTTTTAAAAAAATATATAAGTTTTTTTTTTCAAAGTTTTTTTATAAGTCAAAAAAAAAAATGAGAAGGGGACACAGACGTAATAAACGTGCAAAAAGATATATTTTTATAAACAAAAAATTAAAACCGCATACACGCATAAGTAATATGATGGGAAGAGGTTTGAGTAATATGTTTGTTAAGTTAGATAGGTGGTTGTATAGAAATTTGGGTCCACCTTCGTAAATATTTTATATTTTAATAATGTATTTTTTGGAATATTTGAATAAAAAAAATATGAATTTTTTATTAAAGGTAAAAAACACCGTGGTGGTAACGTTTTTAGAAGATTAAGAGGTGGAACAGAGAATCCATTTGCTGATCCTGTGAATAGGTTATTTAAACATTTTGTAAACTTTAGTTCAAAAAAGAATGTCATCAAGTGAAGTTCGTTTGTTTAAACAAGGTTATTGTAAATATGCTGATAAAAAATATCATAGAAAAGAATATTGTAATCATTGCTATATTAATACATATATTAACATTGTTAAAGAAGACTTGGAGTTTTATAAATTATTGCTTAAAGATATGGGCGAATATTCTTTAAATAACATAAGAGCCGATGTAACAAGTTATGGCGAATATATATTAACTTTTAAATATTTTAATGATTATCTATGTCAAATAATAAGTGGAAATAAAAAAGAAGGACATACAGACATTTCTACTTTTTTAGGAGGATTTGTTAATGATTATAAAGTACGTTCTGGATTATATACTATTAGACATGTAAATAAAGGCGATCTTTATATCGGTTATGAATTACCTATAATAAATTAATATATTTAATACTGTTTTTTTAATTTTTTTAAAAAAAGGGTATATATAAAAGAATGAAAAATTTTTTTTTTAATTTAAAAAAAATGTACGTAACTTTTTTTAAAGAATCTCTCTTACAATTTTATAATGCTAAAAAATTGGAAATTTTTCAAACAGACGATAGTTTGAAAGATGTAAATGGAAATTTCAAGTTATTTTTTCGCTTAGACGGTAGCAATCAAATAAAAGTAACTCGTTCAAACGATATAGCTAGCATTGATTTTATATATGAAGTTATAAATGAAGATGAATTGGTTAAAAAACAAAAAGTATTTAGTATGAAATATGATGATTTTGTATCAGTTATAAAGGATTCATTATCAATATGGTTGTTAGAAGAAAGCGAATAAAAAAAAGACGCACACGTAAAGTGAAACAAAAACAACGAGCTCGTGGTTTAACAGATTATGTTACACCTCAAAATGTAACTAATGTTTTAAAAGTGGGTTCATTATTATATAGTTTAAAAAAAGCGTGGAAAGGAAAAAAATCAACGCCTTCTGTAACAACAAAAACAGTAGCAATTCAACCACCCGTTAATTTATATAAACCGGCGGATAAAAGTTTTGAAGTATATTAAAGAACAATGTTGTAAAAAAAAATTATTTATTTTGAAATAAAATTAAAATACAATGTTAAATTTATTTTTTTTTCTTGTGTTTTATAATATTTTGTTTTTTTTAATAAAAGTTTTTTCTTTCCTTTACAAGTATTGCATACTAGTTTATTTGTTTTTATCACGAATTTTGCATAAGTTGGTTTATGTAGAAGCCAAACTTCATTGTTAAAAACGGTACTCGTACATTCTTTCAAGTAATTTAACGATTTCGGATCTTGTAAATTAACAATATATAATAATCCGTTTCCAGCACACGAGTCGCAATTTTCTTCTATAACCTTTTCATTAATCTTCCATAAAGCTGCTTTCTGTATACTTGTTGACATTTTATTATAATAAATTTTGAACAAAGCGAGTTTTTATTTCTTTTTTTGTCATGACATCATCTTGAGGCACGTCAATAAAATTATTTATATCTTTAAATCTTCTGTAATTAAAAAAATATGAATCGTTCATATTTTCATATTGTTTTAAAGCAAGGTTTTCTTCGTTCATAACATCTCTAATAGCATTGATATCTTGAATAGATATTTTATCCCATTGACATTCATTGTTAGTTCTTAATAATCTCGCATCGTTTAAAAAGCTTCTAATTTTGTTATTGGTCATGACTTCATTTTTAAAAATATCATTTTCTATAGGAATTTTCATTGTTTTCATTGTTACATTATTACGTACCAGACTCTCAGTTTTTCTTAAATAGAGATGAAGTTTCATGTCTTTTTCAAAAAGTTGTTTAGCAGTATCATCCAAGTGTTTAAATAATTTACTTCTAACAAAGTGAAAAAGTGGAAGCAAATTTATTTGAGCTAGTTCGGAAGCATGAAGAGTTGAAACTTCATAGAAGTGATAGTTCAGTAATCTGCACAACAAAGGTAAATAAATTTGACCGTTAATAAGATAGTTTGGTAACAAGGATATAAAATAAGCGGCAAAAGCTCCGCACAAACTACTGTTTTCCCATTGAAAACAAGTTTTGTTATAAGAAAACAAAAGAGTTTGTTGACCTGTCATTGAACTATATTTTAATACAAATTTTGTAAACCAATAAAATTCATGATTATCAGCTGTCCATTCGTAAGGAAAGTGTTTAGTTTGTCGTATGTAAGAACTTATTTCAATTTCATTATAATTAATGTTCAAAGTGTTTATTTGTATGTTAGTTTGTATTTCTTCTACAGATTCAAACAAATGTCTATTACTTCTTAAAAAAGGTGGAATTTGTTTTAAACAGCTTTCAGTACCTAAACTGTCAAAACAAAATAAATGATTATTGTTTAATTTGAGTAAAAGTCTCCAATGTTCTCCATTTTCTTTACTAGTTTCGTTATTATAAATAAAAAAAGAACCGTTTTTTACCATTCGTTTAATAATGTTTACGTGTGTTTGGGTTTGACTCAATTCGTCAAAAGCGTAAACACCTATAAAATAATCTTTCAAAAAGAGTTCATTATTAAAATAACTAGACAAAGATTCGTTAGTACACATTTTATTCTTCTTTTTCTAAACTAAAAAAACTTGAAATAAATAATGTTACAATAGCGTGTAAAATGTTAACAAATAATGTTTTTTTATTAGATGTGCCGTCTTTTATGATTCCTTCAATGTTTCTTTTAACAGATTTCTTTTTTAAAACTCCATCTAGTTTTTCTATGATGGTTGAAGCGGTAGGTAATATTTTTGCTGTAAAAATATCGACGAATCCGTCTGTTTGATCACCTTCAAATGGAACAACAGGTTTAACATCTCTTTCGAGTAAAAAAACTTTTAGTTTAGATTTGTAATAGTCGGCTATAACATTTTTGTCAAGATGATCTTTTTTCATATTGTCAAATTTGATCAAGTGAAATTGACATAGTTGCGGTTGGTCGAGTAAATTTTTAAATTTACTGTTTTTAAAACATTTTTCAATAGAATAAGAATTTAATGTAATTCTTTTTGAATTTAAAATGTTTTCAATAAAACCATTTGATGATGTGTCTTTATAATGTTCCTCGTCTATAACTAGAGATGAAGGTGAAGAGTTTCCAGAATTGTTTTCTTGTGATTGATACCTTTTGGCTATTTCATCTAATGCGCAAACAGCGCAATTATTATGAATTTTTTTAATGATACTGTCAACTCGATTCATTTTTAATTATAAAAATTTTTTTAAAAAATTAGTTATTTTTTTTGTTTTTTATACATGTTTTAAAATTTTTAAAAAAGAATGCGTTTTATTTTTATTAAAAAATATTGTTAATTTTTTTAGATTTGGTTGTTAGATACCGAGTATATTCATAATGAATCTACAAAAGATCATTTTTGGGGAAAAAATTGTATAAGAGAAATCTGTTTAAGAGCACTAAACGAAGATTTTTGCTTACATCTACAAGTCTGGCCTTGTACTCCTTATAAAAACTTGGTAGAAAAACATCAAAAAGCTTTTGATCATTGTAAAAAATATATTCATGGTTTACCATATAATCCTAGTTTTTTGGCTAACTCTAATAGTATTTTTTGCACAGATGTATGCTATTATTTGGAAACTTATTTTAAAAAATATCCAATAAATTTAATATTCTATAAAGGTGGCAATATGGAAGTTTTAATTTTAAAATGTTTTAAAAATGTTTATTTTTTTAATCTAAACGAATTTGCGTTTCCAAAAATTAAAAGAATGAATTATTTCTATGATGAAATACCGTGTAATGCTCATTTTGGTGGTGAAATTTTTAGAAGGGAACATTTGGAACATTGCTGTAAATATGAAACAAAGATGTTAAAGAATTATTTGATTGACTTTATATATCATGTTAAAGGTTATAATGAAAAAAGAGAACAATATTATAATTTAGTTAACCTAGTGCGAGAAAATAATCGTTGTGAAGAAATTAATAAAACAACTTGTAAATGTTTTGATAATATTTTTTCTTGTAAATAATACATAAAGTAAATAAAAAAATTAAAAAAAATACAATTGTTTTTTTTTTAAAAACATTCCTTTGCGTTAATATAATACATATTAAAATGTTCAGCTTTATGAATAGGTTTATCGTTGATAATTTCTTGTTTAATGACATCATAGAGTCGATTGTCTCGTCTATTTAAAATTTTCGAAATGGTAAAATTTCTTTTAAAAAAATAAAACCATTTGGCATAAGGAAACATTTCCATAATTGATTTCTCATAAAAATTACATTGATTAAACGATTTGTATATGTAAACTTTATCGTTCATAGTTTTTACTTTTTCAACTTTAAAATAGTTATAAATGGGTATAGGTGTATAAAGAGTAAAAAATCCGTTA